AATAAATGCCTCAAAAGAATAAGTGATCTTCGGGTCAAGAAGAATCTCCAATATGGAACTGTAGGAACTGGCAAGTTAAAAACCCGTAATGACGCAAATAAGAAAGAAAAGGCGACACTTGCGGCATACGCTAAGGAGATCACACGCTGCAATATCATGCAACATTAGGCAATAGAGTGAAACTCACAAGAAAAACGTACGGCAGGAAGACAGAAAATGGTTTGACGTAGAACAATAAAGAAAGAAATTATACCAAAAGCTACAAGACATGGGTATAGACAAGACAAAAGAATGCCAGAGGTTAAGTTGAAGCTTTATGCTTTACGAGGTTTGCGCACTTAACAATGTGTATTGAAATTATACCGTTCACCCTTCTCTTTTTAATAAATTTTCGCTACTTTAAAAATTTTCCCACATTAAAATTAATAACTTTTTTAAATTGATATACATCCATATTAAAATGTTAAAAGAATAAAAGGGTTAAAGTTTAAATTAAAAATAAAAATTTGCAATTAAAATCAATTGATATATTTTTACATTTTCTCTAACGCGTTCCACTATAACATTGAATAATAAAAGCATAACTATACGAGTATATTGTATATATTGTATACAGAATACAGATGCGTGTGTATGTTCAAATGAAAAGTTCCATAATGGAAAAAAATTGCTTACTTATGTTTTATTTAATAAAATGCTGCAATTAAAATAATAAAATATATAGAAAAAAAAATTTAATTTTTCAAGCGAAAAACACAAAAACTGAAAAAAAAAACTTTTATAGAAATTGCATTTTATTTTCATTTCCTTTTGCACAATTTATAGTGACAGCTGAGAACTTTGTATTACAATGTTGTATCTTGTATAGAGTATAGTTTTTCAGAACTCCAACGAGCTAGAAATTATAATATTTAATTTTATTTTATTATTTTTGCTTTTTTTTCAATTTTCAATTAATTTTTCTATATCTTTTTTTTTTCTTTCTTATATTATAAATTATTTTCAAAAGTAATAAAAATAATATAAAAATGAATTAAATATAAAATTCATTTTTTTTCTCTTTTTGGTTTTTCTTATTTAATGTTATTTGCCTCTCGCTATAGGAATAATTTATAGTTTTTTTTGTGTTTTTCTTTTTGTTTTTGTAAACAAAGTTGCATTGTATATTTTATTAATTTTATTATTAGAGTAATATAAAATTTACTATATTACGAGGTTGCATTACGAGTAGCATAATATATACATAAGTATGTACGTAATATAAATATGTACACATATAATATATTTATAGGAACTAGATATGAAAACCTGACAAAATTATTTATTTGAATATAAAATTAAATGTTATAATTTATGCTATTATTATGTATAAATTTGATATACGATTGAACTCGTTAAATACATTCACCGTATATTTATTTGAGTATATATGTTGAAAACATGTATTAAGTATGTTCGAATATATTATTTGATATATATTCATATGTTAAAATACTTGTTAGTATTACTTACTTGATGAACACAGGAATTTTCTAAATAAATTTTAAATAAGCATAAATCTACCTGAACAAGAAGAAAGTAAAAGCATGTTGTGTTAGCTATTGAGCTTGCTTAACAATTTTTCGGATTTTCTGCAGAGAAGTTCAGAGTATGAGCTTACTAATATAATATAGTGCAGAAATTCAATATCATATCTCATATGACCAACAGTAAATAACTCAAAAAATAATTATAAGCTGCCAGTATTAGCAAATGGAATCCATTTTTCCGATATATACAGAATAAAACTATACGTACAAGAGATATAAACGCAGAATGAAATTATTCGTCTTAAACAAAAGTATTTAAACTCTTATAACAAAAAACCGTTCGAATTCGGACAAAAGAATCAGTTCGAATTCTTTTGTCCGAACGGAAAGAAAGAAAAATAAAGTTCAAATTTGTTAAGAACTTCTAAATTGTATTGGAAGTACAGAAATAATTCTAGTATACCAAGAAGTAAAACGAATATCAAAATAAGATTAACGAAAATCTAAAATAAATACATACATACAAAATGTTTACAAAAACGTGACATGTTTTTTATCCTTTTCGATGAAAAAATTAAGAAATATTATTATGATGTCATTCAACCCAATAACAAGCAAATAAAACCGAATTCGCTCTTTTATTGTTCACTTTGAAAAGTGAAAACAATGTAAATAATAATGTGATAAATGTTTTCTTTTTAGTACGAGTGTAATAAATGTGCAAGAAAATGTGGAATATACAAATGGATATTTGTAGGTGCATGAACATATATTGGTAGCGGGTATTATACGAGTACTAGACTTATAAATAAATCTGAAGAAAAGAGAAATTAAATAAAATTTTTTTTTGTTTTTAAGTTGCCAAAAGGCACCATCTGCTTCACACATGCCACCGTTTAATGATGTTGTCTACTTGTTTTTTTTTGTTTAATTTTTTGTTTACGTTTGGTTTTTTGCCGAATTTCACATTTTTCATTTATCGTTTTAATTCTCCCTCAATTTAACTGTTGCCATTTTTATTGAAATTTTTTTTAAAGAAAAATTTGAATTCTATTATATTTGATGGAGGGACAATTATTCTTGAACTGTGTAGATTTATGTAGATGTATTTGATTATAAAAAGGAATAGGTTTGTAATTAAAGAGAAGTTTATAAAAGCACGAAAAGGATGTCTTTTTAAGAGATGGTAATATAGTGAAGAAAACTATAGAAAAGCTAAAATAAAGTAGCTACTAATAGCACAAAGTGTTGTAAGAAGTTTAATGGCTGAAATATAAAAATATTCATATGAAGTCCAGTTAAATAAAATTGTGTCAATAAATGAATTTTATTCAATAATACAGAAATACGACCTCCATCCTCCATAACCATCCCCCAAATCTTGTACTTTTTTAATAGAACACTTGCGAAGATTAATTATACAAAATAATGGTAGGGTAGTGTAGAGAATCGAAATAGACCGTCACACTTCTACTGAATATTTACTCTTTAAGCGACTTCTTATATGGATACCATCTTTTAAATTAGTATACGTTTTGCGAAATGGATTGTGAACAGTTAATTTGGCAATTTCATCAGAGTAGTGACTATTGCAGGAATTATTTCACAATATCATAGAATAATTTAAAACAACAAACAAATGAATCTTATAAACTCACTTTAAAGTTTGGTAGCCATAATAATATATTAAATGTAACATTGCAGTTTTTTAAAGAAGAAACGGGGGCTTTAAAGAATGGAAGTCAAAAACTGCTTTTTTTTGTTTTCCAATATTTCGCTTTCATTTTTACTTTTTTCTCTTCAAATATTTTTCAAACTTTATGGTTCCTGACTTCTAAGAAAAAAATTGTTTTTCTTTTCTTGTATTCTTCCATTTTTTAATTTTCCAAGCAATTTCTTTTCGGTATCCTTCTATAAAAGGATACAAGAACTTGTTTTATATTTTACTTTACTTCCCTTTTTTCATGTCCCATTTTGTATTTTTTCTTATTATTATTTTTTGCTCCATATATTTGTAAAGTATATGATTATTTTACTCTAGGTTTGGATAAAGCAATTTCTGGTAGAGTTTGTAAAGCAGAAGAAAATTTTCTCCATTTTTATTTTATTTTTATTTTCAATTTTTTCTTCAAGTTTTCTTTTGTAATTTTTTTTGGTCGATTCTATTTTTAAAATTTTTTTTCTCATTTTTCTTTTTAGGGTTTTTTCCGGAAAATCTTCCTTTATTTTTGTTGTATATTGTATCATTATATTAAGTTGAAATATTCTGCCAGACTCAAAAAAATATAACCAAATATAATATACATTATATAGTTGTACATAGTATGTATGTAGAAATGTAAGTATGAGGAATGTTGTATACATAAATTATATTTGAAACAGCTGGTCTGTAAGGATTTAAATTTCTTCAAGGATATAAAAAATAAAATAAACTTACAATGAATATATAAGAAAACAAAAAATACTTATATATTATAGGTACGTAATAAGCTTTATGTATGTATGTATGAGAGACAAGGATGTATAGAAGTTTATTTGGAAAAAGACAAATTCAAGAAGTAATATAAATAATATAAATAATATATTTATATATATACAATTATAGTAGATTTTATTTCAAGGTTTCGTAAAAGAATCCTTGAAAAATCATACTATTTTCACAATGTATATTGATATTCATCAGACGAATTTGATGTAACTACACAGATTTTATATATAAGTGTATATATATTATATCTTCTATACAAAATATATATATAAATATATGATATATGCATATGTTTATATTACGTATATAAAGTAATAAATTTAAATTCAAAAGAGTAAAAATATATTTAGGTTAAAATTTTATGGGTTTTATCAATGAAAGAAGAAAATACTTTTTCAAGTATAAATATCTTTGATTTTCTTCTAAATTGTAAGTTTGTGAATCATAATGTCTTGTTCTTTGATTTGCATATACAGAATATATGTATGTAGATGTATGAAATGGAAGAAGAATATTTGCAGTATTGTGTATACTTTTATTCTCAAGATTCATAATAATCGTATCCTTTATCTATATAATTTTATGTATCCTTTCTATATAATATATTTATTATTACAATTGTTTTGGACCCTTTTAAACTTTAAATGGATAAGAATTTTATGTGTATATAGGTATACTCACAAAAATATGTAAATATATATTTTTGTAACTTATTTGCTTATAAATTATTTTTATTATTAGTTTTACAAGGTTGTTGAACGTTCTATTAAGAAAGAATGTAAATAATAGGTAAAGACATATGTATATGGGTGTTAACATAAATATAAGGCATGAGATTTGTAAATAAACAGCTGATTTAATGTTAAAGTTAGAATGCTATTTCCTTACTAATATATTTAAAAAAATACTATTTAAAATTTAAATGTATATGTGTATTTGCTAATAAAATTTCTTATTTAAATGTATTGTAAAAAGTAACTTACCAAAAATTATTGAAGAGTATTTTTGGAACCGCTTTTGAAATATGTAATTGAAAGTTTACAAATTTTCTCAAAGTTTTGGAAACATAATTCCTTTTCTCTATACTATTTTTATATATTCGATTCTTATACTTTGTGATGCTTCCTTATGAACGACATGCAAATTTGGCTAACATTTTTCTTGCTCTAACAGTTAGCAACATCTTCTGGAAACCAGACTGTCAACAAGTTTCAAACCTCAAAATAACATATTCAATATTCATCATACTCAAATGGAAGTCATCCATATCAGCCATGATCCACGTCAGTCATATGATTTGTAATTGTTATACACATTTCATTTTAGTATATGTTTCTCAATAAACAGCAGTATTTCGCTTTCTTTTGCTGTTTTACAGTACTCTTAATTACTTGATTATAATAAATTTACTTTTTATTCCGCTGTAACTCAATTTAATATTGTTAAATGACAGCCAAATGACAATTTATTCCATTATTCTTATATTATAAATATTAAAAATAATTTAATTGTTTGACATTTTAAAAATTATAAAAATTATTTAAAATTTTAAATTTTAACTTACATAGTTCGAATAAAATTTTTGAAGAAATTTGCTTTAATATTATATTAAAATTATCATTATTTATCAGTATATTTTAATTAAATAAAATGCAATATTATTATATGAATAAAATTATTATGAATGTGAAATGATTTTAATAATAATTATTGTTTTTCATTAAATTTTTATAATTGTTATACATTTATTATAATTTCTCTGGCTTGATAATGGAAATTTTTGCATTAGATATACTGGATATACAATCATTATTAATTAGTAAATAATTATTATAGTAATTATTATTATTAATTAGTTGTTAAACATAATAATACATTTAATAATTATTCATGTTGCTATCTTTTGTTATATTATTTGAATTAATAATTTGATTTCTTTAAGGTTAGAAATTTATAAAAACCTTGTCATAATGTTTTGTAATACTATAAGGTCCACTCATATATTAAATTAAATATTGCTTACATTAAATTAACTTAAATTTCGTTCAACATAGTTATTCTTTATTTATTATTAAAAATTTTTTTATGTATACGTTCACACATTTAATTACATTTTTTTAAAAATCTTATAAATTACGTGAATCACTCACTATGTGTAGTACAAAAAGTTTATGTTATATAAAAAAAAATAATAAAAAAAACACTCCTATCCGCAAACGAATTATTCAAAGACTGATTTTTTTTTTATTTTCATTTCAAAATTCATTTCTGTTTTTACAAGTTGAGTTTTTCTTGTTTTTCTTTTATATATATATTGGGAATTTTTTGCTTTATAAATAAATTCCCATTATTTAATTTTACAATTTTTCTCCTTAACTTTAATGCATAATGGAGGAAGTTTCAAAATGAGACAATTTTTTTCTTTGATATCTTTGACTCGTCTCTTAAATTTTGCGGCATTAACGGTATTGTAACGACTTTTATATTTGAAAGGCTTTACATTAGTGCTTTAAAAACAATTATTTAAAGTTGAGTTAGGACAAAGAATATATTTAATTAATGGTGCAATAAATATTCAAATAAATGTTAATAATATTCATTTTAATGCTTATATAAAAATTTCTGAAAACAATTTGGAGAATTTCTTGAACAACAACAGTAAAAATGAAATGATATATTTAAGAGAAAGGTAATTTTCTCTTGAATTTTTCCTATTAAAAATTCTCTTCTCTTGTTTATTATAAATTTCAAACTTTTCTAAACTAGTAAATTGAAAACTCTTATGAATAGGGTAATTTTCTCTCTTTTAAAATATTTTATTTGTTTTCTTTAAATTATTTCTCTATTTATCTACTTTGTTTTGATTCCTTTTTTATACAACACATGCATATTATGTTCATTATTATTATTTTTTTGTATAGCGTGACTAAAAAGTATAGCATCTCTTACAATACTAGATGAGATTTTCAAATAATTTTTATTTCAATAATTATAATTTATAATATTTTATTGCATCTTACATATTTCAATTTGTATCTGTATAGCTACATGGGAACATATTAGTGCTTTTAATGTTTTTACTTTTATATCTACTCTAATGGTGAATGGTGGTGTTCAGTACCTTGAGTGAGCGAACTAATATTATGAGAATTTTATGACCAAAATCAAAGGAAAATTTCTCTGAGAATTACTTTCTATAAAATCAAGAGATATTTTAGATGAATACACATTGAAACTATGAAATTCCCTATACAAATTATTTCAAGATGAAATATGTAAGTTGGTTTAAGTTCCTCTAAGTTTTTATTTTAATACAAAATATGCATATACGTTTTTAATGAAGTCATGTTAAATTTTTAAATTTTATAGGTATTTATATTTTTTTTTTAATTTTGAGTTTCAAAAACATTTAACAAACAAATTAACGTGTAATACAAGATCTATTTTAGCGAAAAGTTTTATACATCTTACTTCGCCATGTTATGGTATTTTTTATTCACGTTATGCAGTTGTGGGTTTCATTTCAGTGCCTGCCTGGGTTTGCCTGCCTTCCAAAACATATATCCGATCCATGTTTCAAAAAATTAATTATGCTTATTCCCGGTAGGTCCAGACGAGTTTCATTCAGGATGGACGGCTTCCTACTCTGTGCCTGATCCCAGAGAGACGGCAGTAACAAAACCTGGCTATTGCTAATAACCATATAATATTACATAAGACAATATGAAATATCCAATATTAAAATATAAATACAATAGGATATCTAACAAAGCGTTGACAGAGTCCGTGAACCTCGGTGAGTGTTTAGTTGAATGAATGTTTAAGTCGCCAATGACAAAAGAAGGAACACTTAGCAAAATAATTGAACTCGGTTGGCAAGAGCTCAAGGAACCTTCCCCTATGGGGGGAAACCGTAAAAGATTATCTTAAAACTAATCGTAAAGTGTTCAAAAGGAAATCGTAAGAGGTCCGATATTAAAAGTAAAACCGTAAAAGGTTATAAAAAGAGAAAGTTTGAAGAAGACAACAAAAGTAGAACTTCTGAAGGTAATGCAAAAAGCCTGTTACATAGTGAAAGTAAACCAATGGTCGATTCGTGTAAAAACAGTTTGGAAAACTTGTGTAAAGAACTAGGAGACAACGTCTGCAAACTCAAGGCAGAAAATTTAAGATTATTAAGTCAACAGAATATGGCTCCGACGATAACAAAATGATTGTTGTGGTGTACGCATAAAATGAGGAAGAATTGGCCAGAGAAAGCGATTGGATTCTTAAAACCAAAAGAAACTCAAAGAAAAAAAAGTCGAATTGGCCTCAATTGGCTAGATACAACAAAGTATAGATATGTATATAACCAAATAATAATTTTTTTTTTGGACATATGATAAACTACGGCGTTATACGAAGCAAACACTTATCAAGCAGATACAAACTTTCCAAAACGAAATGTTCATAATATGGGAGGTGGTATTCAATAGAATTAATCCACGCAATATTGACATTTCTAGAAATTCGAAAGAGATATATACGGTACGTTTAGAGCAGCATGTAAATATTGGGACAGTTAAGACACGAAAATTAAAATGAACGATATCTTTCAATTTAGCCTATATTGTTAATGCGGCACTTCTCTGACTTCCTCCTGGATCATAGACACAAAAACATGATAGAGCAAAACTAATGGTAAGTCAGTTTGACTGATTTTAGGAGGTTATTACCATAGATCAGGTAAGATAGTTTGGGTAAATTTCCCCATTATTGACGGATTTGACGGCGATTTGAGGCCGTTTATGTTTTTCTGTCCATGATTTTATATCTATGTATATAGAAAAAAAAATTGTATTTTGCTTTGATATTTTGCCAGTTGATTTACTATGAACAGTAGGCCTATGCTTAATACATTGATTTATTCTATGTATGGCCTTTTCTTTCTAAATTCTGATTGGTCTTATCTGCCATTTAAAATTTAATTGAATTTTCAATTTCAATTAGATATGGCTATTTCTATTAGATATATTGTGAGTTCATATGTTTTCATATTAGAAAATAAATACGTTTCTTATACTTACATATTGTTATATGTAGTCAAGCTTTTATAATATAACCCTACACCTACATTAATTTTTATTAATTTTTTTTAACAATATTCTTATTTGATTATATTTTTCGACCAATACCTAATTTATATTAAAAATTGAATTGTACATACACTATATTCCTCCATATAATTCAATTACATATCATAGAACTCCATATAAATTACAACATACAAGTGAGTACCTGTAAAAAAAAGATTTTTTTTCTTTACTTTTTAAATATACATAATATAAACACATAGTGTTCTCATATTGAAAATACAATACAGTCTTCCCATTTTTTTTATAATAAAATAATATATTAATATATAATATTCCTATTTACGTAGTTATATATATTATATACAGGATATATAAGTATATTTTAATATAGTATACATTTATATTTATAAAAATAATATATGTATATTTATAATAAATTCCTTTCATCTTCCAATCATATCATTGCTTTTTAAATACATAAAATAATTTTATATAATAAAAATATAAAAATAAAAACAAAAAAATATATATATCTATATAAATAATATAAGCATTATAATATGTATAAAAATTATCTAGACATACAAATTATATTCTTATATACATATGTATGTATATAATTATTTTATATAAATATATTTATATAATATTTATATACATACAAGCATATATTGTATTAAATTTATTTTAAAAGTTTTGTACTGCACTAACATACATATGTATATTGATATTCACATTTAAGCGTTATACATATAGGTATACAGATACAGAATTGACATATCTGCATATTATATATAAAAAATAATACATATATATATATATATATATATATATGTATATTATTATTATTAATAATATATGCTATAAAAACCGTTTCCCAAAACAATTTTTCTACGGGTTGGCACAAAAAAAAAACTATTATAATAATAATGTATAGTGTATTTACAACAACAAAATATTTCATATCTGTGTATTATATAATATACATTTTGTTTTGTATTGCTCTAATAAAAATATATTCTATAACTGTAATTTTTTATGTTTCTAAATAATTAAATCATACATGTTCAATGTACGTATGTATGTAGCTATATTGTGAAACATGTATGCTCAAATTATGTGGTATGAGGATAGTCTTTTCTGTTATATACATTTACTTAAATACATTTTCCTATAACAAACCCAGTTATATTTTAATACTAAATAAAAAATTCTTAATAAGAGTAAAAAAAATTAATTACTGCAAAATAAATGTAATCAATAACAACAAAAAAATCGCCTACGATATCGGGCAATCTTTCAAAAAGATAAAAAATGAAATCTCTATATATATACATACATATCTCTATATTTTTTACTCATTTCTTGTATGAAGGTACTCACAATTTATTTTCTTACATTAATGGCAAAGTGTATTCTATATGAATTAC